CAGCAGGTGACTTGGGCATATAAAGAAATTAAAGTGCCTGCTTAGATACTGCCCTGGGTAGTGATGAACTTAAGCATGTGCTTAAGCGCTTTGTTGGATCATACCCAATAGAGATACAGGGTCGTGTTCAGCCTTGGCAGTGTCTTTAAGACTTTTCAAATACCTCACCATGGTAACTTTTCCCTCCATTTCCTCGTATTTCAGGAATCCTCAATATCTTAACTTTAAGACCCTGATTTTATTAAGAAAAACAGGGTTTCATCAGTAAGGTTTGTCTGGACATGCTAGGGGTGAGTCTGCCTGGGAACAACTGGTACTTTTTCATAATATCCATTATTGTCCTCTTCTTTGAATTAGATGCCACAAACAACTGAAAGAACACGCAGAGATCACTACAGACATTGCACACATCTGTAAGTGATGATTTGCATATGCTTGCACTGTGCTTGTAATGCTCTGGAAATATCTGAAATGCTCTGCAGTATCCTAGTTTATAACATATTCTTCGCCACAGTTTACGCATCGAGAATGCATACTGAAAACAGGAAACACACATGTGGAGGGTAGGTAAAGGGGGATTACAGTATACATATATCCAACGGAATAGTCCCAGTTTAAGAGTATCACAAGCATCAGGCTTGCATAAACAAATCAGTGCTTAACCCACAGATGTATCTAATGACCATATGGATTCTGCATGTTTACAACTGGAAAAATCCCTCTGAGCTCTTCTATTGTTTGCTGACTTTCACCCTATAGTATTAATTTTATTCGTGAAAATCGAGTTATTCACTGGGATATAAAAAGTTCTTAAAAGGAAATGGAGTTATGTAGTATACGCCGCAGGACAAGATGTATGGGCCCCATTCTCTGCTGCCTTGGAGTTCTCATGTCCTAGGTGAGTTACGAGGCATGCAACCAAATGTGCAACGGCATTTCTTAAACCAATTTATTGCTTTTATACAATATTTCTCTTAGATTTCCCCCCAGCAGTTGGCTCGGGGATTGCAAACTTCAGGATCCTTCCAGCCTGAGGCAGCTGCAGAACTTCATTGGTGCCTGAAATCCCCCCGTCCCCTGGAGCAAAGCGTAGGAGCAAAGCGTAGGAGCCCGCGTCTGCGCAGCAAGCCGGTGGCCCTGAAGCCTCGCCGACCTCCACCTCGCAGGCTGCTACTTGGCCCGTCTGCCGGGCGAGGTAAAGCACGTCTGCCAGGCGAGGTACAATGCCACCACCAGAGAGACAGAGCCAGCCTGGGGACCCTCTGCCGTCCCTAGGCTCAGCTCGGGGGGAAAGGGGGGCTGAAATGGTGATGAAGGGGCCCACTCGTGTGCAGCGGGTGTCTGTGCTTCCAGCCGTGGCTGTAGGCGACAGCCCTGCTCAGTGTTTCAGCGCTGACGGCAGGAAAGACTTTGGCCAAACGGTTGCTGAAAAAGAACTGTATAGTACGGCACGGAGCGTTGTATTTCTTTGTGTCTTGACAACTGCTCGTTTCAGGCACTGCAGAAACCTCTCCTTGCTGGTGGCGGGGAAAGTAATGCTGCAGGCTGGAGAAGTCCGTTCATCGAGGGCTTTTCTCCCCTCTTCCCCGAGGAGATGGGCGCCCTGAGCGTTGTATTTCTTTGTGTCTTGACAACTGCTCGTTTCAGGCACTGCAGAAACCTCTCCTTGCTGGTGGCGGGGAAAGTAATGCTGCAGGCTGGAGAAGTCCGTTCATCGAGGGCTTTTCTCCCCTCTTCCCCGAGGAGATGGGCGGGCTGGGATGAACGAGGGAAAGCCGCCGGCCTCGGGCTGTGCTGGGTGGGCTCTCCTCGGGGCAGGACGGCTGCGAGGAGAGTGGTTCTCCGAGCAGGGGACCCCCAGCCCCGTCCTGGGGCCGGGGCAGAGCATCCCCTCCGGCACC